AGGTACAACGGTTCTCCCCCCTTACAAGTCCTAGCCAGGGGGTACCAATGACATCCACCCTTACCGGTCACAGGACGGCCACAAGACTGAAGGCTGCACAACAACTGCAACAGATGTCATTAAAAACTCCCACTCTTCCGGGCCAAGAACTTACTCCGGCACCAATGTCTGCTCAGCAATTACGGCAACCATCACTCAAAACCGCTGCCTTTCCCGATCAAGGGGTGAGTATGAAAGCAGTGTCTGGACAACAATTACAACAGGTGCCTGTTCTTCACCAGGGTATACCTGTGGAACTAGCGGGTGAACAACAGATGCAGCAGCTCTCACCTACTTCTCCTAATCAGATACCTATAGCTGCACAGCCAGTTCAGCAGCTATCATTCAAAGCAGCAGCTCCTTTCAGCCATAGATCCCATACAAGACCTATGAGTGTACAGCAAGTACAACAGATGCCGCTCAAGACCCCCACTCTTCCTGCTCAGGGAATTCCTACGGCGGTGTTTACTGCTCAACAACCAGGACAACCATCATTCAAAACCGTCGGTGTTCCTTGCCAAGGACTAAGTATAAAGCCAATGTCCGCACAACAATTGCAACAAGTTCCTGCCCTTTCCAATCAGGGCATTCCTGGAGAACTGATGGGTGAACAGCAGGTTCAACAATTTGTACCTCCCAGTATTCCTGGTCAGCTACCAATGACAGCACAGTCAAATCAGCAAATGTCATTCAAGACAGTCACACCCAATCATACAGCGACTGCGAGAGTCAAGACTGCACAACGACAACAGCAGATGTCATTTAAGACTCCCACCCTTCCTGGTCAGGGAGTTCCTGCGATACCAATAACTGCCCAACAATTGGGACAAGCACCATTCAAAACCGCTGCTTTTTCTGGACAGGGAGTGAGTATAAAACCGATAACCGCACGGCAGTTGCAAGAGATATCCACAAAGCCAGCAACCATCCCTGGTGCTCAAGGTAGTCCTACAAGGCCAATCACCCAACCAGTTCAGAATATATCATCAAGACCTCCTCCAGCTCCTAATCAAGAAGTCATTACGAAGCCTGTTACTGCGCCAAATATACTGCAGCAGGTCCCAGGAGCATCATCCGTGTCTGCTCAACGAAACGCAGTTCCTCCACAAACATTTCAGATGCAGCAACCATTTGCGAGTCCAACAACTCTCGGTCAAGGAGTACCGACAAAGCCAATCAGTATGCAACAATTCCAACAGCAATTCCCACTACCGCCTGGTGCTCCGCCATCTCAGGGATATTCACCATCTAAAATGTTCTGAGGAACGATGAAGGAGAAGTTCTCTCTGAGGTATTTTCTAAGTAAATTGAAAAATCTGCACAGCTTGCATAAAACTTGCGTGACTGAATATGATTGGATTTTAGAAAACTGATCAGTAAGGAACTCACAGACTTTTGCCCAAATTACGCGGTATAGATTCCCATTTATGCAATAACATCATTAAAGGGGGAATTCAGTTCACATATATATACGTGCCTTTTCGGATGCTTGACTTGAGGGCAGTAGAAAATAGAGTCCTAACGATAATAGGGTGATACCTGCAGGACGGCCTTTCAGCACATTTGAAACTGTGGGAGTCTCAACGTGACTCTTAGACTAAGACTCTTAGATTTTTCCTGAATTTGTACAAAGCGGAGTATTCTGTTGAGATACAGCCGCGCCGTGGGCAGCGCTGGTTAGTAGAGGAGCTAAAACCAGCTGGGAGACCGGCGGCTCCCCCACCCTTTTCCCCTTTTTCTCATGTTTAAACCTGATGGAAAAATCATGGCGTACGAACAAGTCAGGAGTGTTCGCAAACTTCTGAACTTGACATGGAGGTCCCGGAATTGAAATTTTCTGCTAAATTCCCTGCCTATCTTATATGTCTTTATCTATCTTATTCTATATAAAAACCGCCGCAAAAACACTTCCTCCCTGGCGGCATAAGACTAAAACCCCCTTAAAAAACATCATAATGTAAATAATATATTATGGGCAACAAAAAAGTTTTTCATAGTTTCACGAGTCCTGCGATGAGTGCCCAATTATATATTGAACTACATATCAAAATACGCTTACAGTTTTCCACAAC